ATAACAAAACATAATATAATATAAGCTTAGATAAAGGGAATTACAGGTGACAGTAGTTGGGGCTTTCCAACTGTACTCTTTAATACAGTTTTTCTCATATTACACTGTTATTCAAATATATTGTCCTGTTTTTTAATATTAACCACTGCCATCATGCCACTAAAACTCTCCTGTAAATACTGAACTGATGGCTATGCCATAGTCTAATTCTCTGCATTTATTACATCTAGCAAACTGTTTAGATGCTTTAAACTGTTAGCAGTCGGACGTACCGCCCACGGGACATTGGATGGTTTAGGGGACTAATAGGACTGCTAAGGGGTTAATCAATCATATATTCAAACTGGGCCTTTCACAAAGATGAGATGACCTACTTTGAGGCACTGCACAGCATTTTTATTCCTCAGTCTCATTAATAAAGATGATGTCCCACATTTTAATGGCCATTAGTTTACAAAAGCCCACAGTGGGAGACATGCACTTTTTAAGGTCTTGCTTTATCCCATTAAACATATGAAAACAGAAAAAAATCACATGGTCCTTTGCAGGTGTTAAAATTAGGTAAATGCAGCCTCAAATCAACAAAATACATGCAATTGTTGGTGTTGGTCAATTAAAGAAGAGCTATGTGATCATTAACCAAAAAATTGAAGCCATCATTTAGCAGTGAGAAAGATTATTTACATGTAGTGATCAATTGTCAAGCATGGTAGTGGAGGGGTGATGATTTGGGCTTGTTTTGCAGCAGCAGAACCTGAACACCTTGCCGTCTGGGAGTAAGCCTTGAATTGCCAAAGTATTCTAGTCATTTTGATCCTGAGCGGATAAGAGAAAATTCATTTTTTAAATTCCTTTTTAACACATTAAGTTTTTGCTATAGTTACTTTTTTTTTATTTACCACAAAGTAAAATATGGTGGCCTGTAATGTGACATTCAGTCATTTCAGTCTACCCTTCAGTATTAGTAACGTGTCCCACACAAACCAACTCCTTGCACCACATTTAGTTTGCTGAGATCTGGTCACCCTACTTTTTATGGTTCTAGCAGATCTACAGGATTCTGTTCAGTGTTTTGGCTCTTAAATAGTTGATTATCTACTGTACCAATAAATATAATTTTAAGCCAGTTAATGCAAAGATGTTGAATTTTTGATACGGCACTGTTTCCAAAAATGCTGAAGAATAACATAAACCTCCTGTTTGTTTTTATGACGTCTGTGTGTCTGTTTATGTCTGGCCTATTTCTTTTACAGAGCTTGGGGAGCTGCATGCTCCTGATGAAGTGGAAGTGTTACATTATGAATGTGGAGGTAGATAACTTACAATCACTCAACACAGTGCAAACCTGAGATGTTCTCACGTATCCATATAACAAAGCACACATGTGTGATAGCTCTCTGAGCAAAAGGAAAATGCATTCTATCTTACTTTGTGCTCTGAAACTTTTGAGTGACTCTGTTCTCCAACGATGCCCGTATGTCTGTTTTCTGTTAAAAAAATAATGAAGATTAATGTAATATTTTTTGAACGTGTATATGATTCAATTTATAAATTGATCACAATGAAGACTGCGTGAAAAATATTCATTAATGGTTAAAAATATGCGACTTAACAAAAATATAGCAATAAATATTTATGATGTCACAAGGCTGATAAATCATCTGTCCATCAGAGTTTCTCAAAGTTAAATCTCAATGTGACTTTGTGGCACATTAACAGAAGATGCTGCCTCTGCTTTTTCATTTGCATAAGCCGCACACGGTAGATTTTAGTTGCACCTTAATTTGCATATTGCTGAGCAGCGTCCCACTGTTTAACAGCTGGTTATATTGCCATCCCCAGCCCACCTCCCCCACATAGCTCTGCCTGGGAATGGGTGGGAGGGCATCTGGTGGAGCTCGGCACAGGTAACTGAGGTCACCTGTGGCCTCAGGTGATGTGGCACCCACACCGATGTACCGGGTAAAGTAATTGGATCTTGGCATATAGTCTCCGATTCCATCTGGACCTGGTGAGTGGATAAAGCAGGTAAAAAAAAAAAATGCAAACAAACTCAAAGCTTTTATTCACATCTTTAATAAACTTAAGTACCATAAAAATGTAGTCTATATTCAACTTAAGGCGATTTAATAAATATTATTATATTATACACAAACACAGACAGGCACAAATAGTCAGTTTGGTTCAGGTTATAGTGCCATCATGTGTCCAGTTGCAGCTATATTTGCTTGGACATGCACCATTTCCTTGAATATTTAATAATTGATCAACCATGGTGTGCAGTTTAAAGCACAATTACAGGAAACTGGGTTACAGTTATCTGGCAGCAAATACTTTCTTATTAATTCCAACACACTCACACTCATAAAGTATTATAGATATGGCAGCAGAGACATTGCTTCAGCTCTAATTTTAACTTCATAATTTGATCCCCCAGAACTTTAGTGAGTTGAAGAAACTAATAAAAGCATCTTCTCTGCATACATCGGCCTACCTGTAAAAATCATCCTCTGTCCATACTGTGGCTGTCCTGCAGTTGTTTCACTGTTTTGCATCATTTCTCTTCCTGTTATGTTTGGACTAGTTGCAGACTAGATACACCTAGATAATGGCCACCCATGGGTGATAACATGAGCCCAGCAGTCTGCTCTGTCCTCAGGGCCATGGCTGGTTGTCATGGAATCATTACTTGTATCCTAGTTACAGCCTAAAAGCAGATTATACTTTAAGTGTTGAACTATGCCCATTCACTCCTTTATTTATATGAAGTATTTATGTATTTATTTATGCCAAGCCCTGTAAAATTAAGTAAAATATATCCTGTCCCTGGTTATAAGTAAATTAATTGTTATTTATTAAGTACATTAAAAAGCAGCTTTCCATTTGCTGCATAATAAAAACAAAACCTTGTTGATGAAGCAATGAAATACCAAATGAAAAGAGAATAGTTATTAAGCACATAGCAACCACGCAAACAGCAGAGATAAACAAACTGCAAATAACAGAGTGAAAAGCCAATTACACAATGAAATGAAATGAAATGAAATGAAATGAATGAATGAATGAATAAATAAATGTATTCATTTATTCGGAAACTCAATGAAACTACCAACCATGAATGCAAAAATAACAGGGTATTAAGAGTGGACTTGAAAAAGTCTTTACAGTTTGATTTAATATGAAAAGAAAAACTGTTTCAGAATCTTTGTAAAGCAAATGAAAAAGTCCACTCCATGTGAGTGGGGAACTGAAAAAGAGCAGATAATAATCTAAGTTACGCCAAGGCAGAAAAGTTTTGTAAAGCTTAAATGTTAAGGGCTTACTAATCAAGCCAGAATCTTGAAAAAGCTTGACCCCATGTACAAGGAGTTACAGTAATCCAATTGTAAAGCATAAAAACCACTTTCCTCAGACTATTAACAGAGCGAAGGAACTCTTAAGGAAACTTTTCACAATTCATTGATCAAGGCAGCTAAACATCCTTGTTGGTGAACACAGACAGTCTGCTGTAAATGAGAGGTAAAACTATGTTTCATCAGCATAACAGTGATGACATATTATATTTTTCAAAGATGGATACAAAGGGGAGGGAAATGGAAAATATAAAAGTGGCCCCAACACAGACCCCTGGGGGATAACAAATTTAATAGGGTAAGATGTCCCATCTGACACTGGAGTACAACCATAACCTGCAGATCAGCTTTGGCCTGAAATTGACAGAAAAATGTTTTGTCTTCTGGATTTTGGTCTAAACAAGACTTTAATTTTGAAGGATTTTGGAGTGAATAACCTAGGTAGCAACACTGCATTGATCAAATAGCAATGAATTATACGCCAAGGTTCATATTTCGTATTTTCTCACAGCTGTAATCCCTCATTGAGCCACTTGGTGGAGCCAAAGCATAATTTTTTGCCACATTACGCCCTCCGTTCCCTTTTTTGTTAAATGGACTCGCCCATGATTAGCCGCCTCCTTGTGACAATAATCTCTGTCAAGTGAAATACAACAACAGCCAGACAGGAAATGCCACGGTCCTCCCTTCAAAACAGAACAGCATGATTTCTTAACCAAAGCGGACTTGTAGGGAAAATAATAACCTTGTTCAAAAACCTGCACGTTTACAGAAGAAACTAAAATATTTCTCTATAACAGCTGACTATATTGATATAGGTGGACTCGACTGATTTTCTTTCTTTAAAAACGGTCATAAACAAAGGTAATTTTTGCGTTGAAGCCTTGCATAAAAGTGGGGAAAATGATGCAAAACACACCCAAATGCATATTTATTTATGTATATTTTGCCTAAAATTTCCACAGCCTTGATTGTCTTTTTATTAGCATCATTTAGGGGTATTATTTTGAAAGGTTGTAAGTAACGTCCACTGGTAACTCCGCTGGTCTTTATGCTCTCGGTATGTCAGTCACCATGGTGGCATACAACAGAGCAGAGCGGCGGCGGCTCTATCTTGACTTTTAGCTCCATCAAAATGCAAACATAGTAGATTTTCTCAGTGAGAGGACGGGAGTCTTCCTCTGATAATGGGCGTGAGCTGGTTGCTGACGGGTTAGCCGCTTGCTATTTCCTCACTTTTTTGTTTGCTGGATCCTTACATGGAATTTCTCCCCCGTCGCTAGCAGAGCAGAATGCTGAAGAGACAAGGAATGGCTTTAATGAACGCTGGCTTGAATAAAGGGACAACACTTTCTACGCTAAGAAAATAACTCTTAAGAGGGGGAGTTTGACCGGCGCTTTTAAAGGAAGTTTCCTCCTCGGTGGGGACCGGTGTTGGCAGCCGGATTCGGCACGGGCAGCAGAAAGACAAACACCCTGAGGAGACTGCTCGGCTGTCTGGCTCCAGTCGTGGCCTGGCTCAGGGCACTCCCAGCTTACCCGCTAGCATCTGAGCACAGGCGACGAGAATAAAGCAAGACAATAGGGGGACTTGTTTTGTATATATCCTGCCCCTGGATAGAGGTAATTTTAAGGATAAGGAATTCCACATCCTCTAGACGGCTTCTTCCAAAACAATGGCGTCTTACGTGGATAACAGCTTTCGGCAGGCTGTGATGAAGAATCCGGCTGAACGGACGCAACAGGTCAGAAGAAATTATTCATTGCATGTTGTTGCTAATTGGATTTTCATGGAAATTAGTAGCCTCCGCCGTTTTTTGTCACTTTGTTGCAACATTTTAGCATTGCAACATTTTAAAGTGTAACAGTTAAACAGTGTTTCTCAGTGCAACTGTTGCCATTCAGCTCGTCTCAGCGGCTACATCCCGCTAAGCCCTCTATCAGCAGAGATAATCAAGGCTACTTAATGTAACAGGAGCTGCGGCCATTGGTGGAACTCTAACCCGCCTGTGGCGTATAGCATCGCTCTGTATATTGTGGTTTTACATCTCTGCACGTCGCAAACGTCGTCTCTTGCAAAACTGATGTTTTTGCATGCAACAAAATCCAAATAATAAGGGTGGCAGAGATATATGTAAGGGTTTTAAAAGAGAATAACACAAAGGAGACAAAGAAAAGGGCAAGGGAGCCCAGAGGAAATCCGTTTGATCAGAAATGAATAGGATGTAGAAAATCTGTGATTGGGCGGAAAGTCAGACAGCACACTGCCCTGATGCAGATGGTGCACATGAAAAGTTTAAACAATGTTACAGTAGGGAAGGAAGTATTCAGACTAAGAACATATGTAAAATGCATAATCCTGTACCATAATATTACAAAGGTTTAGCCTTAAAATAGTAAATAAAACATGTTTGTGCTGAATCATATACACTTTTTTAAATTGATGCATTAATGCGTAAATCACACTAACATTGCAGGTGGAGATGCAGCATTAGTGACTAGCATTACTGCTTGGAAGCGCTATAATAATAATTTAAAAAACACCAACATGGTATAGTAATAGATTTATTTTTAAAACGAACGAAAGATGCATCCAAAATAACTTACAAATACTTAAGTGATGGAAGTACATTGAGGGCCAGTGCCGCCCCATACCTACTCTACAGGCACATCCCTGTATGAAAGTCAAGGACAAGAGGCTAATCCACAGATAGCGCGTGGACTATACTGGGCTGTAAATTTGGACATTACCCCGGTTTATGGTAGACGTTGACAGACTAATGCTTCTGATGACTATCCTATAGGTTACTTTTGATACCGCTTCACCGACTAGTAGTAGTGGTCCATTAATGTTTTGTCACACAGTTTCTGTGGTGGTAATGGACAGACATTGGTGCTTTTCTTGTCCTGCAGTTAAAATCAGGAGGAAAAAATCTTCCAAACAGTTCCCTGCTACTTGTGTCTAAAGCTCAGTACTGTTACGTTTTTGTCCTACCTCTGAGAAGTTTGTAGTGCAATCCATATCCTGCCTGAACATGCAAATCCTGTGGGCTGTGGTTGTGACCCTTTGAGCTGCACATGCTTGTACACACCCAGGCTGGTAAGGTATCAGATATAGGACGTTATGCTTTGCATTTTTGCAGAGATCAAATATAAATCCAGTTTGGCTGTGAAGCTGAAATCATTTCATTTGAGCCGTCTCCACGGCTCCGGTGCCAAAAGCTTTACACATAATGGACAATCGATAGTCCATCACTTGAACCAGAGAGCTACAGTTAGTGGCACAGCCTCTGCCCATGTCTGTCTGACATTAAGGAAACAATTATGGTGTCACTGGTGTCACATTAACTGCCCTAGGCTCATGGTCTTTACAGCTTTATGCAAGTTGTAATTTGTATGGGTGACAGATGCCAACATGGTGATGGAAACTGGATAAAGAATTTGGCTTGTCTCACTAGCAGCTGTGCTCATCTAAGATTGGTTCGTTACCATTTAATGATAAGTATTTATTATTGATCAGTATATTTTGAATTAACTGTCTTGTCTTTAAAGAAATGCTTCACATTTTTGAGAAGCTTTAATTTAAAAATTTGTGTCAATCTATTTTTTCTTCTGAAAAATTTCTCAGGAAACGAAAACAAAAACATTTTTCCTATATCTGGCATCCTCTCAAGATCTATGTCTAAAGCATAAACCGCCTCAACTTGCAACCCCACCTGTAAGAATTTACATCAGCATAGCTTTATGGCCATCTCAAAGGGCTGTTTATGAGGCAGTCCTAACTTGCCAAGAGTATGTGAGAAGATATTAAGCACTTGGAATTTCTTGGCTTGAAAAGTGTCAGATTAAAATACTTCAATAAAATATGACCTTCTGGAAGACTCTGTAAAATGATAATAAAAAAGAAATCAGTGGTATGGCTCTGGTCCTTGAGCACTTTGGAGCCACGGTATCAAATCATGCTGTGTAAGTATGCAAACATTTCATCCCAGAGGGCTTTACTGTAGGAAGTCTCTGCACTTCTGAGTGAGTGAGTGACAGGTTGGAAGGAGGAAAATGCTTCCCAGATCCCATAGGTCATTGCAATGAAGAAAAATGAACAGCAAGGCTGACTAGGGCAATTTTAACAGCGACTGTGATTGAGAATGATGGTGTCATTTGGGACATTGTAACAGGATTTGAATGCATCCATGTTGTTTTACAGTTACAGAGAAGTCCAAAGGAATAAAAGCTCCTGGAAAGCCTCTGCTTTTTCTGCAGAAACCACTATATGGAAATCTTATGACTCTGCAGCTACATTGTCATTGTTTTTCTGTACCAGCACCTTTCCCAAGTGTTCCTTTCAAATGTCTCGGGACTGTGCTGGCTCACGCAGTTTATCCTAATGGTGTTGGCAGGACCTCTCTGTCAGGATTAGCCAACAGTTAGAGGGATCTGTCTTTATCACTCATGACTCGCCACACAGTCGGATTTGACCTATAGCATACGGCAGGTTAAATAGCTGACCACTTGACAGGTAGTGTTCTGGCCGGCATTGTTGCTCTCTGTCCTTTGCACAATTTATTTATATATATTTTTGCACTGTAAAGGGAAGGAAGAGCCCTGAATTTTTGACATTTAAGGTCAAAGAATAATCAAGAGGGAAGGAGATGGAGGACAAGGATGCATTTTTCTCTCTGAAGCATTGCTTTTTTTCCAGCAGTGACATAAATTAAGATAATATGACATGGATATTTGATCTGTGATATTTTTTTTTTAATCTGATATCTTTTATATACAAATTCAAACCTATGTTACACAGAGAATTACTTCCCTTCAGTTAAAGCACTGTTTCTGAAACTCGCGTTGTTTTTCTGAGACTTGCTCCCAGTGGCACTGTTGTGTTGTTTCCGTTAGTTCTGTTCATATGATCCTAACTTTTCTCCCAATCCAGGCATTTTGATTTAGTTCTGTTGTTGACAGATTTCCTTTACACACTATAAAATGCGGGTTTGTCTGTGGTTTTACTGCTTTAGTTCATGACTGTCTGTTATTTTTTGATCTCTGTACAAATGACAGCGAGCCAGCTTCAGGAGAGATACTGATGTGTAAGTCTTTGAGGACAAAGGCATACATGCTTGGCTAATTAGCTCGATTTTAATATTCCATTCATTATCATTGTGTTATTTAATTTTTTTGCCCAGTATATTCTAACAAATACGCACACCATCACTCAGTTATTGTAAGACTTTCAAACATTTTCTTCTTTAGTTTTATTCCTAAATATTTTGACCTTTAAATAAGAAGCGTGAGATTTTCATTTGTTTATAAAGTTCTGTTATGTTTTTGTTTAAATTGAACAAAATCTTCAAGAGCAAACTTCATTTAAGTGGATTCAGTGTCTCTGTTTGGCCACTTAAAATGGGTTATAAATGCAGTGAAATTAGCTGGGTTGAAGATTTAGAAAGACAGCTTGCACAGACTGAAAATGAATTAATGAGTGATATCACTTCATTTAGTTTTGCTGGAACCAAAATGTGCACATACTTGTCTTTCTGTGGTGCGCAGTTGTGGCTCTGGTTTATTTTCAGCAAGTAGATGGATGCAGGACTGACATCTCTCCTCTTGTTTAGCCAGGTGGCAAAGCTAAAGGCCACAAACAACAGTCCTCTGCTGTTGTGACCCCGTTTCGCAGTCACATAGCTGGAAGGACACGCTGCCTACTTTGCATTGTTTCCACATATTCTGGATCAGCATAAGAGATCAGAGAAGACCTGCAGTGACCTTATAAGAGACACTAGGGGGAAGATGGATGAATTTGGGTGAATGTAATGGCCATTATTTAGCCTCGCAAATTGCAGTTAGTAAGGTAAAGAACCAGTCAATCCAGTCCAAACATCTTCAATGTTTCTGATTGTGAAATAGTCCAGTCACTAGTTTAGAATGTGTTATGATCTTGAATGTGTACATTTATGATCGATTGCTTTGCAAGTACAAACAGTAGTTTTAAAATATATTTTTTTTCTTTTTGATGCAGCAAAGCTTTTACCACTTTAACCAGTTTACCTATGGCTGATTATAAAAGCATTTGCCAGACTGCAAAATGACTAATATGGACAAACCCACCCTGGCGCTCAGCATCCTGCTTAGCGCAGTCAGGAAGAGGAAAGTCGTCAGGATGCTTTTAGAGGAGGAAGAATGTCTGAGAACCCCAAAGCTTTGTTTTTATTTTTTTGAAGTGTGGTGTTGTTTTCTAGCTACCTTTCTATTTTTGTAATGATGTCAGAATCATGGAAACATCAATTTAAATCCCAATCACTGGTTGAAAAACAAGGATGAACTTTTGTAGTGTTTTTTCCCCTTCGATTTCTTATATGCAGGAGTTTTAATGGTGCAATCTTCCTAGGCAGCACAAGGTTTCCATAATTCTCCAAACCTCCAGTCTGTCCTGTATATTTAGGTGCTGCTTGCCTTGGCGTTTGCAGGCACTCTGCAGCAGTAACCCTGTAGAAGTAAAGTGATGTCACATGTTATTCTTGTGTTGAAAGCGGAGACTGCATACAGACTGAAGTGGTTACACACACCGCGGTCTCAGTGACGTACATTTACCAGTTTAAATACAGGGGATGATTTCAGGAAGGACTGGGGGGGGGACCTCCCAACATATGATGCATTCAAAGAAGACCGGCACAGTTTCTTACTCACTTATTTAAATCATACGTGCACATCTTTTTTTTTTCTTTTTTCCCCCATTAGTTTTTTTAAA